CACGCACTTACCGGGCAGTCTGAGGCAGCGGCTGCGCTGGCGTGTCGCCCTCGCTTGCGAGCGGAACGAAGCAGCAGGAAAGGGGGTTGCATGCGTCTTTTTTTATTTTTATTTTTTAAATTATTTTTGTTACGCTCCGCCCCACTCCTGCTGCAGTGCGCTGAGGGAGGTGGGGACGTTGGGGTTTTTGTGGAGGTGGTGGGGGGGCGTGATGGGAGGTCCCGCCGGCATGCGCACTGCGTGTTGCTGCTGGCAGGGTTTGAAGGGGCTGGGCGGGGTAGACGGTAAGCGAGGTGCTTATGAATTGTTTTATTTTGTTTTTTGATTTCTGCGGGGGCGTCCCACACTGCGGACTCTCCGTGCGGGTGCGTGTGGGTGTTTCTTCGGGCCGCGCACAACAGTCGCTGCTACCGCCGCCTTGTTTGCGGCTGCCGTCTCCTGTGGGGGGTGGCGAGTGTGTGATCGTGCGGCCCACACGTTAGTTGGTGTTACCTTCGTCATGGATTGTCGTTGGTCTTTGCGTCATGTCCTACTGTGGGTGCGGGCGGTGCCTATCGTTTTTTTTTTGGTTTCATCTCTCTTTTTTTCCTCGACACGCTCGGAAGGGAAGAGAACAAACGCTACTTGTTGTTGTGCACATTGAAACGCTCTGCAGTTACCACCAGCAACACACACACACACACACAATCGTCGAGGCCTGAGCGGATCCACCACAAGGAGGGAAGAGAGGGAGAGTAAGCAGTGACACATGCCCAAGGTGTCCTGGCATTTGCTTTCTTATTCGGTGCTGCTGCTGCTGTTTGTGCTCTTGACATGCTGTGGCAGTCAAGCTGCGGGGAGTGCCCCAGGGACGGCCGTTAATTTATTCACAGGGACGACACCGATAACTTGTGCCAAATGGGAGGAAATGCAATGCGTTGAAGGGTCAGTTCGCTCGCTGCGTGTCCCCAGCCTTGTGGAGGTGGACGGTGCTGTGTTTGCCGTTGCTGAGGCTCATTGCAAGAATGGAAGCGGCAGCTTCAGTGGCATCGTATCACAGCACCTCAAGAGAATTGGAACAGAACCGACTGAGATTCCGATGGGTGCGGGCAGAGGTTCCTTTCACACACAGCTGCTGAAGGAAGGTGGCAACGAAATGAGGGACACATCGCGACCAACGACAATTGTGAGTGGCAACAATGTCTATGTGCTGCTGAGAAGCTGCAGCCGTGCAACACCGGAGACCAGAGAGGCTGATCAAAGTGGATGTAAGATTGTGCTGGTGAAGGGGAGTGTCACTGAGGGTGAAGAGAAGAAAGTCCAGTGGAACGAGACCCATGCAATGTATCCTCAATCTAGAGTTCGTGGATCCTTCACTTATTTTTCTGCTGGCGGAGGATCAGGTACTGTGATGAGTGACGGCGCAGTTGTGTTTCCCGTGCAGGCCACAAAGGATGGGAGGAACGTTTTGCTGATCCTGCGCTTCACCCCGTTCCTGAATAGATGGGGGCCTGTAGTCGATACGGTGGGTGAAGGTTGCCACAATCCATCGATTGTGGAGTGGGGCGAAGTCGATGACCGACGCATCTTCGTGATGGCTCCCTGTACGGATGGCTCCTATCACGTGCACAAGTCTTTAATATCTTTGTACTATTGGTCTGACGGTGAACCAATTTCTCAAGTGTGGGGCAACTCACGTGATCGAAAAGGCGAGGGCGCGCGAAGTGGTTTCATCAGTGCAACCATCGATGGAATGAAGCTGATGCTGCTCAGCACGCCGGTGTATTCTGAGGAGAAGGGAGAGGGTCAAGCTGCATCTTTGGATGACAGACAATGCCCGTGTGCACGACGTTGGGCCGGTGTCTCGCGAAGGTGATGACGCCGCCGCCAGCTCCCTGCTGTACAGAGCCGACAAGAAGGAGTTGATTTTACTGTACGAGAAGAAGAGCGGAGATTCATACAGTCTTGTCGCCGTGAACCTGACTGAGCAGCTGGAGCGGATAAAGAGCGTGGTGAAGGCCTGGAAAGATATGGACACCGCACTCAAAAACTGTGCTTCCACTGGCACTGTTGGCTCGCGGATAAAGAATGTGTGTAAAAGTGTTGTTCCCACGGAAGGGCTGATTGGCTTTTGGTCCAACAGTTTAGAGGGGAGTTTATGGAAAGACGAGTACTTCGGAGTGAACGCAATGGCGCATGGTGGGAATGTGGCAGGCACGGAGGGGGGTGTGAGGTTCCGAGGCGCAGCAGCGGGGGCGGAGTGGCCGGTGGGCAAACTGGGGCAGAACCAACCGTACTACTTTGTGAACAATGACTTCACTCTTGTGGCGACGGTGATGATTAACGCGGTGCCGGAGACAGACAGTCCTGTTCCTTTGATGGGTGTGAGGATGAACGACGATGCCAGCACTGTGCTTGTTGGTCTGTTTTACACGAAGGACAAGAAGTGGGGAGTGACTGTCAACGGAAAGTCTCGGGAGTTGTCAGATAAAGATGGTACGTGGCAGCCTGGCACAACGTATCAAGTGGTACTGAAAAAGCTTGGGGAATCGTTGTATGTGTACGCTGACAATAATGAGCTTATTCAGGAGAAAGTTCCGCTCTCTGATTATACCTCACGAGGTGTCTCGGACTTCTACGTTGGCGGCGACGGTGCTAAGGGGGCAGGCGAGGTTGACGTGACTGTGGGCAGTGTCCTGCTGTACAACGACGCACTTGATGATAATGGGCTCACGAGCCTCAGTGCCAGCAAAGTCTCACTTTCAACACCGGCTGCTGAGGGGCCACTCACAACGCTGGGAAATGATGAGGAGATTGCCTCCAAGATGAAACCTGGAGAAAAGATGGTTGGTGACGGTTTGAATCCTAAAGGACCTCTACCAGAGGAGGCCCATAAAGGCATTCACAGTGCTGGTGAGGTGTCGGGGTCTTCGCCGGCTTCATCATCGCCGGCTTCGTCATCGCCAAAGGTGCGCCTGGCTGATGAACCCGACAACGGTAGCATGGCTGGCGGTGGATCCGAAAACACCAGCGCGATTCTTGCGAAGGACGCACCCAGCATTTCTCTTTCTGGTGACAGCTCCGTTGCTTTCGACAACCTTACACGTGTGAGGCCCGATTCAGGAAGCGGTGACGGCACGGTGCGTGGGTGTGTGTC